GTAGGTCTGCAAATGAAGGCAGCTTCTTTATAAAACTTTCAAATGATACTGTCCGACTTTTTCCTCTGCAGGAAGAAAACTCAGACCACAGCCAAGCTCTAACCTGCTCTTATTGAACGAAAGTCAAAATAACCATTTGGACTCAAATGTGGCTAAAACCAAAGAAATTGTTGTGGACTTCTGGAAAAAAAAGTTCACAGTCCAGTATTTTTATCCACGGGGAAACAGTTAAACTCTTAAAAGTACTTGATTTGTTTCCTCCCTCAGGTTTGATAAGAACTCTGAGCAAATGATCAAACGAGGACAGCAGCGGGTTAAATCATTTTAAAATCATTTTTATCATTCCTTTATCAAAAGTTTGTTGACTATTTCTTTTATTTGTTGGTTTCATGGGCTGTCTGTGAAAGAAAAGAACAAACCGGACTGTTCTGTGTGGTGCACACTGCCCCCTGCTGGATTTATCAACAAAAAGTGCATCTTCAGTTTAAGCAGCAAACACACTCAAGCTTCAATGTTCAGGGTTCACACTCTTTTTCACTCACAACATTTCAAAACTTTTCCAAGACTTTTTCATGACCTAGAGTGAATTTTCCATGACTTTACAGCACCTACATGTGTAGAATTGATCAGACTTTTAGGGCTAAATCTGAAATGTGAACTCTTTCCACTCACTTTATGGTTTGGGATTATAGTTTTTGAACATTCAAAATCCTGTCAGTGCATTTATTGTCGTCTCTTTTAAACAAAAGGCACAAACGTTCACAAATAATCAGAATAGTCTCATGAGAACTGAACAGAACGCTGGAGTTGTGTGAAAGAGATACTAACTTCCTTGACTTTTCCAAACCTTTAATTGAATTTACAATATTCTAGGCCTGGAAAATGACATTTTCAATTTCCAAGACATTTCCAGGATTTCCATGACCGTGGGAACCCTGAATGTTTTTTATAAACCTAATTCTGCTCAGATATCCTTTCTAGATTTTCCACTTTAAATGTGATATTTTAGGTCTACATTTAGTTTACAGTATTTCTTGTTTAT